CCCCAACAACAGGCATTAATGTTTTTAGTGCATCACATGACTATGCAATCTACTTTTCATGCTTATATACCTTCTTTATACTCCCTAATTTGCCGGTGCATTCGATGTAACAAAACGGTCGACACAAACACAACCGCCGTTCGAAACTCTTCAGTCTCTTGCGTGGCGCCCAGACGCAGGAGATTCGTGACGTAAACACAATGCGTTATAATAACAATGCGTCGCGCAAGCAATAGTGCCTGCTGCGTTATCCAATGAGATTGCAGCGATTTATCACGTCATGCACTAAATTATATTATTGTACGGTATTTATGTAAAATAACTGAACCAAATTGTATCAGTCTATTGAGCTCAAGTTGGTTTTGTGGTTATATTGTTATGGTTTAGATTTCAGTATCGATTTTAGTAAAACTTATCGATAAATTGATGATTTTATTATTTTGTCGGCAACATAATATGATAGAATATATAGATGCGTATCTTTATTTAAGATAATCACGAGAGACGTTGTAAAAACGATTAAAAATACACGAACGCGTATTTTAATCGTTTCCATAACATTTCTCATCAAACATGGCCAGCTATTTTAACTCATTTCTTAGCTCTACATTTTCAAGGCCCGTCTTTGTTCATTTATACCTGTTATATATTTGTTTACCAATCAGAATTTTAAATATTCGCAAGAAAATACTAAGATAACAAAACCGATGGCCACTGAGTTTAGTTTTTTTCAATTTCTGCACGTGAGATTTTGTTGTTTACGTTTTAAAAAATTTCACAACTTTTCTCATTCCGACCTCGTTTCAGGCTCTTAATCCCTAGGGTATGTCTTTATATTCATTTTTGTCTGGGATAATTTTCGTAAATCTGCAAATACAATATTATTAACAAAATACTAACATGGTAAAATCTATCGCAACTGTAGTTAGCTGTGTCGATTTCATCACATGAAAATCAGGACTTTATTGTAGAGCTGCCTTTTTCCCAATAAAACGCAATCATAAACATTTCTAAGTTTCGTATATACATGTTGACCTTATATTTAGAAAATAATTCAATTAACTTCATAATCAAACCTACTGTCATTCATCAATTTTGGCCCGATGATAGGAATGACGGATTATTCACGTACCATTTTGCATGACCTAAGAACGCACCGAATTTACGGAGAGAATTCCAATCACCGTGTAAATAATAGTCCACATCCGTCCGAATCGCGCTTTTCAAATGTAAACATTGAAACGCAAGGTGCTAACCAAGTTTAAACAAGGTTTTTTTGTATTGTGAGTCTATCTGATCGAATTATATTCAATGCATAAAATGCTTACACGAGCACTACTTTGATTCATTAGATCCGGTGATAGATTTCGGAGGAAATACCGCTTGAAATGTGGCGTAAACTGTACAGATCACGCCTAACTAAAAACTACTGGAAACATGGACCTTTTGGCGAGTTGAGTCGAGGGCCATGTATTTCGAGAGAGGAAGAGAGAGAAGAAAAAAGCAACGCTTCGTCCTTGGTGGGCATGCATTAATACCCGCACGTTGAGATGTATCGGCGGGTTATGTTGTCAACCTTAACTGCCCCACTGTGTATAATTATTGCACGCGCTTATACGATAGACATTTGTCTCGGAAAACCAAGCACGTTGTTTCGCAACTGGACACAGGTGGTGCGCTGCATGGACTAAAAGCAGCATTCGATTACAGGTCGACATAACGTGAGTTGACATTCAGCGATCATCAAAGTCCCGAAGGGTGGTTAATCATGCAGCGCCGGTTGCGCGCTTGTGTGGGATAACTTAATTGTCTCTTCCTCTCTGTGTTGCTTCCCCGCGCTCGCTCGGTTACTTGACAATCAATGGGTTCTCGTAAGTTGAACAGTCATACGCCGAGTATGCTCATATTTCATATACACGAGTTCTGTGTATTTCGATTAAAAACCTCGTTTGCCGTTATGTTCGTAACATTCATCGTGTTTCGCTCGCTCCGGTAATACTCGGTAATACTCGGTAATACTCGGTAATACTAATAGAGCACAGCGAAATGAATGCTACCAACTACTATACCCTTAAGGTGGTCAAATGAATCAGTGGGCGGTTGGGTCCGTATAAGAACGCGTACGTAGTGAACACAAACCCTACGTATACACTGTCCACTGCGCAAAGGTAACAGTTAAAATATTAAACATCTCCACAATGTAATCTGTTGCCCCATCACGCCCATCTGCCCTTTTTATGTGTACTCTGTATGATGTAGTGAATTTTTTATTCTTCAGCGCAGACCATGACCCGCTGGTTCGTGATGCTGTTCGCCGCCATCTTGGGGCTCGCGATGCTAGTGACGCTGGCGATGGCTGACGATGGAATGCCGACGCCTCCCGTCAGACCGCAGCTATTTAAGAGTCCGACCGACCTACGCGACTACTTGCAAAAGTTGAACGAGTATTACGCAATAGTCGGCCGACCGAGGTGAGAATGAATATCAGCATGAATATTATTATTCACGGCAACACTCGGGCCACGGATCGCTCGTTGGGAATCTGCGCATTCATGCTCGGAGAATTGACTAACCACAGTATTATTCAGTTTTAGCGACCCGTAGATATTTAGCAGACTGTGTTTATTTTTAACGGTTATTAAATAGACTGTGTTTATTTTTAACGGTTAGGTGTACACGTAGGGTAAAATCGTGTGGG